AAATTTTCAAATCAAATCAAATTCAAATACAAAATTTTTAAATCAAATCAAATTCAAATATAAATTTTTCAAATCAAATCAAATTCAAGTATGCCTATTATTTGATTTAATTTTTTTTTTTTTTTTTTAACTTTTTAATAGTCTTGCTACTACTTTTATTAAAAAAATAATTATTATATATGCAGAATATATATGATATATCTAAACTATAATATTTAGATATAATATTATCCGATTGCTTCTCAAGTACCTAGATGTAACCTGTCACACTAAACTAACACATAAAACAGAAGACATTGTCAGCCTTGCCCAAGAGCCAAAACTTAATTTTTTTCTACCTAGATCTTGCAGAAAGGCTTTAGTAAGCCTGTTTCTCTATTTAATAAAACCAAAAAAAAACAAAAAAAAAAATAAAACAATATTGCAAGAAAGAAAAGATAAGGAAAATGATTAAAAGAAAGAGTAACTATAAGAGGAAAAAATTAAAAACCTAAATGTAAGACTCTAATATAACTATATAAGAACAAGATGAAAAAAAAACAAGTAAGGTTCTTAGACTAGGCTAAACAAGAAAAATAAAAGAAAGTGCACTATTGTAATCTGTATAAGGCATAAAAAATTATATAACAAATGCAATATTTGTATATTTTTACTATAAGACTTTGCCTTAATGTGTTGGTTTCTTTCTGACTATATGACCAAATCTGGATAAGTCTTTAACAAGAACTAGTCAATAGGTCTTGTCACATGGAGTAGTAATGTGTTTATTACCAAACAAAATACATAGTTGCAATCTACCAGGTTGACCAAATTTGAAAGGAGTAAACAATACCAATCTTTTAACAAAAGTAAGCTGTTTTGTCTACTTTTTTTAAAAATTTTGTTGTAGGCACAAGTGGGCATAGTAAAGAGTATAAACCTTATACTTTTTTTAAAAGAGAGTATGTATTTCTTCAAAAATAATAAGATGAGTAGATTCAAGCACACTGCTGATATTCTTTTCAGTAAGTAATAAACTTTAAACTTGTTAGCAAGTTGCATATAAGAACTATTTCTAAATAACAGGTGCTATCTTCACATTAAGTAATAAGCTTTAAATCTATTAGCAGATAGTATATGAGAACTACAGTATTTCTAAATAATAGATGCTGGTTTATAATTCTTGTCAGTCTTAGTCCTTCTTCTTTAATACAGTTCTATAGTTTTTGTTGAAATTTTTTGTTATAAAAAGTTGGTTCAAGGGATTGTCAAGAAGAGTTGTAATCTATTATTTTTTGATTTAATTTAATTTTAAAAAATCTTAATATTTAGTTTAAATAATTAATTAATAAAACAATAATACATACAGTATATACTTATACAAATTATCAATCTATTATTACTATTTATTTTCCACATTAGTAAAAACAAGAGGTAAATTCTTAGTTATCTGGGGTTGAAAACCCCAACAAAATGAAAATCCACAGATTATTTTCTGTAGCAGTAAAATAAAGTTTTTAGCAATACTTGTTATTTCAGTATTTCTCTAGAAGCCTAAAAAAATAACAAGTGCTGCTAAGAAAATGACAAACATAGCTAGAACTTGATTTTTTTACTAATTAGAGTAATAATTATAAGTTGTAAAACCTTCATTATGTAATTACCATAGTACACTAACCAAAGTACCCTGGGTTTAATACAATCTAACCAAAAAAAAACTTATAAAATACCTGTGGGTTTCTTGATCGGTAATAGGTATCTTGCATAGAGGGGTCTTTTGCTAAGGGTATTTTGTATTAGGGGTATTATACTTTAAGTAATACAAGTCAATATAAAAGAAAATTAGTAAATTTCATATACATATGTACATATACGATATCTTTTTAAATTTCTTTAACTACAGAACAAAGAAATGAAATATTACTGTTAGCTTGTGGCCCTTGGGTCCAAATTGAATAAATAAATAAATAAAATAAATAAATAAATAAATAAAAAAATAAAAAACTATCTAAACTGAGGTATTTTCATAGAAGGGACAAGATATTAGCAGAAGCTCTCTGCAGTAACTTCACTACCAGCAATTACTAGTAAACCAAGACAAACTCAATAACTGTACTAGCACAAACTATATACAAGAAATAAAATGGCCCATGAAAACTTTAAAACCTAATGTGCTCGAGTGACAAAAAAGAATAAAAGAGTATAGTTAGCATGTGAAAAACTAATGATAATTGTCTACTATGAAAAAGTGCATAGTAAATATTTGACTGCTAATGAATTTGGGATAGAAAGAAAGCAGCTTCAGGAATAAATAAGCAAAAAATCCGACCTTCTGAAAGTTGTGCCTTATACTCAAAAGTTGTCACCTGAGGCCCGGCTGAAATATCCCGAACTTGAAGCCGAATTAATTGAATAGTTTTAAGAAGCTCAATCTTAGCAAAAAACTATAAGCCAGTATATGATTCAAGCCAAAGCTCGCATATTGTGTACTACATCTCGTTATTAAGAAAAATATGAAGAAATACAAAATAATAAATTTTCACAAAAATAGGTAAACAAATTTATGTCTAGAAATAATTTGGTAAATTAAAGACAGACTACTATTGCCTAACGTCTTCCTGAGAGTTATATCAAGAATCAAAATGAGTTTTTATCTCTTGTACTTTTTAAGCAGCATAGATATGACTATCCTTTATCTTTAATAGGTAATATAGATAAAACTGCTGTGTCTTTTAGTATGTCAAATAACATCACAATTGAAGAATGAGGTACTAAAACTATATCAATTCTATCAACTAGGCATAAATATTTGTATTTTACTGTTATTCTTGCCTGTATGGCCGATAGTACTAAATTACCACTACTAATTATCTTTAAATTAGTTAAAATACCTTGTGAAAATTTTCCTAATGGTGTTATTGTACATGCAATCCCTTCAGGATGGATAAACGAAAATGAGATGTTATAGTAAGTACAAAAACTTAGATGATTATAATGCATACCACAGTTGAAACTAAAATTCATTTATTTTTAGGTAAGTAAAACCCAATGAGCACAATGTAGAAATAATCTGTATTCTTTGTTAATCTTGGATTCATTTACTAGCCACAAAACAAACTCTGTAAAACAGTGTTTTTGGGAAAAGAATACTAACTTGGCTTTAATTCTTAAAGGTTTAACATCTCGCTTACAACCTCTTGATATCTCCATGAATAAATCATTTAAATCCAAGATAAAATCTAATAAATGGAGAAGTAAAAAAAAAAAAAATTAAAAAGTTTTTTTTTAATAGATGTGAAATCTTTATAATCAATAGATGGATGAAGGAATCAAAGAATACACTAAAGCTGGCAAAATGAAATATCCTTTGTATCTTTTGGTTGCTACCTGGGTAAAAGAGGCTTGGGAAGCCATTGATATTAATATGATCAGGAAGTCTTTTAAATGTTGTGGAATCTCTAACACGATGGATGGAACCAAAGACAATTTAATTTTAGACTTTACAAGTCTCATGAGCAGAATAAATTCAGAAAGAGAAATTGAGAAACAGAATAATAATGAAAATGATGATAAAAATGATGGTGAAAATGATGGTGAAAATGATGGTGATAACAATGGTGAAAATGATGGTGATAACAATGGTGAAAATGATGGTGAATGTGTAGATGGAGAAGACATAGATAAAAATAAAAGTGGGTTAGTTTATGGTAATTATTATGAAGAAAGTGAAGAGTTAACAGTTGTTCAAAATTGAAATTAATGAACTGAAAATCTGGAAATTTTAATGTAGAATTGTAAGTAAATGAAAAAAAAATACAATTTTTTTTTGCTTAAATAATCGAATTGAATAAAATCAATTTTGCATCTTGCTAACCAAGTTTCTACCTGATTCAAAAAAGTATCCATTTTATTATTAATACTCAAAGCTTTTAATCCAAATAATCAATACCTTGATATGAATATAATAAATACAACACATCTTTTATAATAATAATTAATAATAATAAAATTTAATTCTATTAATATCGTGATGCTTGAGCATCATCATGATCATTATTAATCAATCAATTGAGATGCTTGAAAAATATAATTTACTTAATTATTTTAAGATAACAAAGTGGTAGCAAAAAAAATTTATGGTGACGTGATCACTGACCACTTCTGACCTGATAAAAAAAATTATCCATTGATCACATTACTGCAAATTTTTTCTGCCACCACTTTGTCACCTGCTATACAGTATTAAATGATATATTAGGCATTGTGCAATATAAAATACCCGGGTCTTATACAAAAATCCCGCCTTCAATAATTATAAAATACCCGGGTATTATTCTTGGCAAAAAAAAAAGTGCCATGCAAAATACCCGGGTACTTCGCATGGGGGGGTACAAAAAAAGGGGGTACTTTGGTCAGTGCACTACGGTATATAGAAACGTGGAATTTATCGGTAAAAAAAAAAGGCATGTTCAAATCTTAACCGATTTGACCCGGGCTATAAATTAGAAACCCGGTTCACCCGGGTTTATGTAACCCGGTTCGGACCTCTAGTTAGACCAATCAGGGCCCAATAATCGAAAATTAGCCCATATGCATATCAAACAATTGTGCTGCATTAATAATTGTGGCAGATTAAAATGAAATCGGATTAATATGAATTTTTCTATTTTTTTAGGAAAATTTAAAATTTTTTGGGGGACATTTTTTAGGGTTAGGGTTAGTGTTAGGGTTTAGAGTTAGTTTTATTAATAAAAGAGTACAAGTGGGTTTTATTAGCTTTAAAGATGAGCAAGAAAGGTCCCCAGTTTCATTTTAATCCGATTTCATTATGATCTGCCACAATAATTAAACATATCGTAATAAACGCGTCTACTAATGAGTTTTTTTTTAGTTTTTAGCAACTTAAATATATATAAGGCCATTGTTTCTGATTGAATGCATACCTTAGATCTTGGTCTCTTTAAGTATATACTAGACTATACTAAAGAACTTTTACAACTCTATTTTTTCTCACATTAATAATGGGCAAGAAAAACGAACCTGGTCAAGTTATACACCGTGAACTTTATCAAAGAATGAATTTTCTTTACCAAGCAGCAACTTTAATGACAACCATAACCACCTCATCAACAACTACTTTAGCACAAACAAACAATTCGATAAATCCAGAATCAATTTTTTATGATATGAATGAATTGGATAAATCACGAAAAAATTCGTCGATTAATTCTTCAACTAACACAAAAAAAAGTTTAATCCCGCTTTCCCGATTCTATATCTCCACAATGAAATCCATTGGCACGAAACAAGTTCTTAGAATTGATCCTTCAATAAAAAGAACTTTATGCAAAAAATGTGAATCAGTACTTATACCGGGCGTTACTTCACGAATCCGAATTAAGTGTAAGTACTTTTCTAAAGGAATTATTCTTAGGAAAATCTTAATTTTATTCAAATTATTAAAAATAGCTAAACCGGAACCACAACTTCAAGTGATGTGCACACAATGCGGTACCACACGCGGATATCCTGCCAGGAAAGGGTATCAATTATTTTCAGAAAAATCAGAAAATATTTATGGGGCCAAAAATGATCAAAAATTAATCAAAGAATAAGTAGGTCGAATCTCGACTACTAGTAGAATTTCGAAATTTGCATTTCATAATAAATTCCCATTTACAATTGTTGCAATTAATATATATATATAAATTTTATTAATCTATATATTTATGTAAATGTTTACATTTTTTCACGAGCTATCATTTTAAATCCAAATCGGTGTTATACAAAATAAATAATAATTTAGAAACAAATGTATTTAATTATGGGATAACACGAGTGCAGCTCGGCACGGAATGTAAACCTGTCAAGAATATAATAAGTTATTATATAATATATGAATATGAATCAAATATAGAATAAAATTACTTACTTGAATATAATTATTTCTTCCATTCCAAGATTCGGGTTGTGATGCATATGTTTGATTTTCATCTATTCTATCGTGTCCTCCATACCTTTTACTATCGGTATTGATCACTATTTTATAGTGACCTGCCCATTCTGTACCAATTCTGTAATCAGTGAATGACTTAGTTGGATGAAAATTAAAAATCCAAAGCAAATTTCCTCGTTCAAATACAATTATCTTATCATCTTCGTGTTTTAGAGAAATATATGCCTTGTTATTTAAGAATTTTCCCTGTAAATTTTTGAGTATCAAAATAAATAGAAAATGACTTAGTCTATCACTAAAAATTGTTTACCTGCGGAGAGTCTAACCAACCAAACCTATCTTCAGTGTGTTGTAATGTTTTGTCAAACTCGTTTAAATACTTATATCTTAGTAATTCGTCATCAACAACATTCCATTGTCGCCTCGCGTAATGATATGAGTTGTTATTCCCAGCCCGCGGGAAATCTAGCCATTCGGGGTGCCCAAATTCATTACCTTCAAAATTGAGATAGCCTTCGCCGCCAATACCATGCGTCAACAAACTACATAACATTTTTTTATAAGTGATAAATTCTTATAAAATATATATATATATTAAATCAAGATATTCACCGAATCATTTTATGGAGAGCCAAACCACGATCAATAATTGGTGTAAGCGGAGTCAAATTTGACATGTGGGTGTACATTTCCTTATCCATGAGCCAGAAAGCAAGAGTCTTGTCTCCAACAAGAGCTTGATCATGTGACTCTGCATACGCAATGGTTTTTTCCTAAAGATTATTTGAATAATGAATATACAATTTGATCAAGTATAAAATATATAATAAATGATGAATACCATATGTCTACGATTAATCAGAGTCCAACATATATTTCCAATGTTCCAATCATCATCACGAGTTTCCTTTAATAGCTTGATCCACATGTCTGGAATAGCCATAGCAAGGCGGTAATCAAACCCAACACCACCTTCTGAAACGGGGCGACATAGACCAGGCATTCCTGATACATCTACAGTTCGTAAAATATAAATTGGTTGGATTTTAATGTAGAATAAATAATTTATAAAGTTAATATATAAACAATATTTACCTTCGGCGATGGTAATTATGTTTGGATATAAAGAGTGAAGCATTTCATTTGCCTTAAGTATAATAAAAGTTTAATATTTTCAACATGAGAATTTATTAAGAGTTTATTGAGAACAAAAATTTCATATATTATCGTACGTACCAACATCAAATATACTAAACTTTCTTCATCTACAGAATCACCAAAATATTCGTGATAACCACCCGAAAAACCCGTACCGATACCATGGTGAGTGTACAACATGCTGGTGACACCATCGAATCTAAATCCATCAAACTTGTATTCTTCCATAAAGAACCGAAGATTTGATAGTAAGAAACGAAGTACTTCCCAATGGCCATAATTAAACAGACGGCTATATAGAGAAAGGTTGATTTAGTGTATTTTTTTTGCATACACGGAAATGTTTAAATTGAATGATAATATTCACCTGTCCCAGAGATCATGTCGCCCTTTTCCTCCTTCATGGAAGTAGCAATGATCGGAACCATCAAACATATTTAATCCATCCAACACATTCTTACATGCATGTGAATGTACAACATCTAGCAATACGTATAAACCCATGCCATGAGCAGTATCGATAAGCCGCATTAATTCTTCGGGAGTTCCTGAGTACAAAACAAATTAAATAACACCTTGTTATCTTGAATTATCTTGAGTTGAATGTATTATAACAATAAATAATAATAATAATTTTCATACCATAACGACTAGAAATGGCGAAAAAACTAGTTACTTGATATCCAAAAGAGGCATAATAAGCATGTTCCATAATTGCCATCAATTGAATAGCATTGTAACCAAGATTTTTAATACGGTTCAATACATTGTCCGTAAACTCGTTATAAGTACCGACGCGTCCTTCAGGTGTAGATATACCAACTATAATTTATAAATACTAGTTAGGAAATAAAATAATAAGTCAAACATAGATAAACCGAATAATTTAAATACCATGAGCTTCATAAACTTTCAAACTTTTTGGTTTTTGAGGAGATTTATTTCTCCAAAAATACTTTTGTGGTGGATTCCAAAAAATGGCATCATACGCAGGACTAACAGATAAATCTTGAGTTACTCGCTTGATCCAAGGAGGAAGACGATCAATTCTTTCACCTTCAGGGGTAATCATGGATATCTAATTGAATTTATGTTGACAAAATTATCAAAAAATAATAAATCCAATAAAAATTAAAAAAATGAATATACTTTTATTTTTGATCCATGAGGGATAGCGGGAATACCATTGTTAGAAGGAACGCGAATTTCCCAAACGCCAAAAGAATTTTTATTCATTGGATGTGAAGAGGTGTCCCAGTTATCTAAAAGGTTTCAAAATAAGAAAAGATTAAGGAATTTTTTATATTTTCACGAATATATTATTTTAAAAGACTTCGAATTCGAATAATGTTGTTAAAAAAAGGATACTAAAATCGCCAATCAAGCTCGCTTTCGTAGCATTAGGAGCCCACTCGCGATAAACTATATCACCATTGGATTGTACATTAAGACCGAAATGTTCATAACCACGTGTAAACTGTTCGAAGCCCCCTTCATTTTGGTTAATATTTTGAGCCCATTTCTTAAAAGAAGCATGCCTACGACAAATGAGTACCATAGTTTTAATAATAAAATTAATTTAAGAACTTTAGAGTAAATATGATATCAAGAATAACACACCTTCGTTTCAGGACGGGAGCAAAAGGTTCCAACCAAGGGTCAACTTTAATAATTCCAGTTCCGTCGGTGACATTATTTTCCAATGCGGTAGGAGGCATTTTTGAAACTTAAGTGACGGAATATGACGAGTAAGATATTAAATAGTTGCAGTAACGACGCAGGTGGGCGTTAAACACGAAATATACATACGAGAGAAAAGGCGTTGAGGTGAATGGCTTTTTATATCAACTTCACACCATAGATAGTTAGTCAACCAAAAAAGGATAAAAGAAAAATTATTCCTTTCACGTTCTAATCATCCTACTGTAAAATAATTAAATAATGATCTGACATCAACATGAGCTTTTTAGATAACAGATAATAAAAACACGTTCATATTTGATATGTTGGTCTCGTGACATACGTAATGATCTTTAATGATCTACCTAGTTGGAATTCTGAATTACAGAATGTTTCTATTTAAAAAATTCGATTATATGCATTATATGCAAAAAAGTAACGTCTGTAGAGCTGCTAATGGAACAATATATACTTTAAGGCAAATCTAAAAGAATCAAAGTAAAAAACCCATGAGCCGTTGGAATGTGCGATATCCTATTATTAACAAACCTATTGAAGATCATATATTATGAAGAATTTTTTCATAGCCTGTGACTTTTCCGAAATTTATATAGTAAAAATGCATTTTTTCAAATCGTTACTTCTCTTGCATTTTTAAAGATAAAGATATAATTTTTG